TGAAGAAAAAATATCAAATAATAAAAAATAAATTAATTAATAAATAATAAAAGCAAATGCTGAACAAAAAATAACAAATGAAATTAAGAAAGATAGAAGAAAAATAAACATTAAATTTTATAGGTAAAATATCACAATCCAAAACAAATAAATTGTTTTTACTTAAGATAAAGTGTCAAATTTGAGAGATTAGTACAATTTACTAGACCAGAACCTAAACCTGATGCACCTTAACCACTAATCTAATTATCACTTTTTAAATATTGAAGAAAAAATATATAATTAATTAGTAAGAAGGAAAAAATGAAGAAAAATGATGAAATAATAATAAGAAATGAATTAAAAAATAAAAGAAATGTTAAAAATAAAAAATGAGTTAAATTAAGAAAAAAAGAAGAAGAAAAAACAGAAGTAGAATAAAAAAGAAAAAGAAAACTAAATCAAATAAAAAGTTAATAAACAAATTAATAGAAAAAACTATATTGTTTTAAATTCAATTTTATAAGTAAAAATATCACAAATAAAAACAAAAAAACTGTTTTTACCTAAGATTAAGTGTCAAATTTGAGAGATGAGTGCAATTTTCTAAAGTAGAACCTAAGCCTAATGCACCGATTACACCAATTTAATTCTAACTTTTTAAATATTGAAGAAAAAATATATAATTAACTAACTATTTAGAAAGAAAAAATGAAGAAATAATATGAAAATACTAATAAGAAATGAATTAATAAATAATAAAAGCAAATTTTGAAATAAAACAATAAGCTAAATTAAGAAAAATAAAAGAAAAATAAACACAAGCATAATAAAAAAGAAAAAGAAAACTAAATCAAATAAAAAGCTAATAAACAAATTAGCAGAGCTATATTTTTTTAAATTCAATTTTATTAATAAAAATATCACAAATCAAAACAAATAAACTGTTTTTACCATAAATCAAGTATCAAATTTGAGAGATTATTGCAATTGGCTAAAGCAGAACCTAGGCCTGATGCACCTTAATCGCCAATTTAATTGTAACTTTTATATATTGAAGAAAAAATATATAATTAATTAGCTATTTAGAAGGAAATAATGAAGAAAATATATGTAATAATGATAAAAAATGAATTAATAGATTATAAAAGCAAAAGTTGAAAATAAAAAAAGAGTTAAATTAAGAAAAATAAACACAAATATAATAAAAAAGAAAAAAAAACTAAATTAAATATAAAGCTAAAAAACAAATTAAAACAACTATATTTGTTTTTAAATTCAATTTTATTAGTAAAAATATCACAAACAAAAACAAATAAACTGCTTTTACCTAAGATTAAGTGTCAAATTTGAGAGATGAATGTAATTTGCTAAAGCAGAACCTAAGCCTATTGCACCAATTACACCAATTTAATTCTAACTTTTTTAAATATTGAAGAAAAAATATATAATTAATTAGTATTTAGTAGGAAAAAATGAAGAAAAAAT